TGGGGGATCCACCTTGGCACCATCAAACCCCCTGGGCAGCCTCATTAATCCCTGTCCTGCCCACATGAACAGGTATGTGATGGGGGATCCACCTTAGTGCCAGCAAACCCCCTGGGCAGCTTTGTTAATCCTTTCCCTGCCCACATGAACAGGTATGTGCTGGGGGATCCACCTTGGCACCACCAAAACCACCTTGACACCACCAAAATTCCTTAATCCTTCTTCTGTGCCCACCAGGGGTACGGTCCTGCCCACATGAACAGGTACGTGATGGGGGATCCACCTTAGTGCCAGCAAACCCCATGGGCAGCTTTGTTAATCCTTTCCCTGCCCACATGAACAGGTATGTGATGGGGGATCCACCCTGGCACCACCAAAACCCCCTGGGCAGCCTCATTAATCCCTGTCCTACCCATATGAACAGGTATGTGATGGGGGTGACCCACCTGGGTGCCAGCAAACCCCAAGGGTAGCCTTATTAATCCCTCTCCTGTGCCCATTAGGTGTATGGCCCTGCCCATATGAACAGGTACGTGATGGGGGATCCACCTTAGTGCCAGCAAACCCCATGGGCAGCTTTATTAATCCCTGCCCTGCCCACATGAACAGGTATGTGATGGGGGATCCACCTTGGCACCACCAAAACTGCCTGGGCAGCTTCATTAATCCTTCCCCTGCCCACATGAACAGGTATGTGATGGGGGACCCACCTTGGCACCACCAAAACTGCCTGGGCAGCTTCATTAATCCCTGTCCTGCCCACATGAACAGGTATGTGATGGGGGATCCATCTGGGTGCCAGCAAACCCCATGGGCAGCTTTATTAATCCCTGTCCTGCCCACATGAACAGGTATGTGATGGGGGATCCACCCTGGCACCACCAAAACTGCCTGGGCAGCCTCATTAAACCTTTCCCTGCCCACATGAACAGGTATGTGATGGGGGATCCACCTTGGCACCTCCAAAACCCCCTGGGCAGGTCCTTAATCCCTGTCCTGCCCACATGAACAGGTATGTGATGGGGGATCCACCTTGGTGCCACCAAACCCCCTGGGCAGCCTCATTAATCCTTCTCCTGTGCCCACCAGGGGTATAGCCCTGCCCACATGAACAGGTACCTGCTGGGGGTGTCCCTGTGCCCACCAACAAATCCCCTTGGCAGCAAATTAAATAATCCCCAATGAGCCTCATTAATCCATTCCTGCTGTACCCATGAGAAGGTACAGCCATCCCAGGTCTGTGCTTGGGGGGCACCACCAAAACCCTCCTGGGCAGCCAAAATAATCCCAAATAAATCATGGATGGGCTTTATCAATCCTTGTTCTGCTGTGCCCATTGTGGGGTATGGCCCTGCCCACATGAACAGGTACCTGCTGGGGGTGTCTCTTGTGCCCACCTGGGCACCAGCAAATCCCCTTGGCAGCCATTAAATTATTAAATAATTAAATTAAATTATTAAATAATTAATAATTAAATAAT